CAAGGAGTCTTTGTGGCACCTTAGAGACTAACAAATGTATTTGGGCATAAGCTTTCGTGGGCTAAAAACCACTTCATCAGATGAATGGAGTGAAAAATACAGTAAGAAGAATATATATTGTAGCACATGAAAAGATGGGAGTTGTCTTACCAAGTTGGGGGGTGGGGGGTCAGTGCTAACGAGCCAGTTCAATTAAGGTGGAAACAGCCTATTCTCAACAGTTGACAAATGTTGAATACCAATGGAGGTAAAATTACTTTTGTAGTGCTAACGAGGCCAATGCAATCAAGGTGGCCCGTTTCCAGCAGTTAACAAGAAGGTGTGAGTATCAGCAGAGGGGAAAATTACTTTTTGTAGTGACCCATCCACTCCCAGTCTTTATTCAGGCCTAATTTGATGGTGTCCAGTTTGCAAATTAATTCCAGTTCTGCCGTTTCTCATTGGAGTCTGTTTTTGAAGCTTTTTTGTTGAAGAATTGCCACTTTTAAGTCTGTTATTGTGTGTCCAGGGAGATTGAAGTAGTCTCCTACTGGTTTTTGCATCGGACGAAGTGAGCATTCACCCACAAAAGCTTATGCTCCAATACATCTGTTAGTCTTAAAGGTGCCCCAGGACTCTGTGTTGCTTTTTACAGATCCAGACTAACATGGCTACCCCTCTGATACTTGGTTTTTAAATGTTACAATTCTTGATGTCTGATTTGTGTCCATTTATTCTTTTGCATAGAGACTGTCCAGTTTGGCCAATGTACATGGCAGAGGGGCATTGCTAGCACGTGATGACATATATCACATTGGTAGATGTGCAGGTGAATGAGCCCCTGATGGTGTGACTGATATGATTAGGTCCTATGATGGTGTCCCTTGAATAGCTATGCAGACAGAGTTGACATCGGGATTTGTTGCAGGGATTGGTTCCTGGTTAGTGTTTTTGTTGTGTGATATGTAGTTGCTGATGAGTATTTGCTTCAGACTGGGGAGCTGTCTGTAAGTGAGGACTGGCCTGTCTCCCAAAGTATGTGAGAGTGAGGGATCGTCCTTCAGGATAGGTTGTAGATCCTTGATGATGCGCTGGAGAGGTTTTAGTTGGAGGCGGTAGGTGATGGCTAGTGGCATTCTGTTACTTTCTTTGTTGGGCCTGTCCTGTAGTAGGTGACTTCTGGGTACCCTTCTGGCTCTGTCAACCTGTTTCTTCACTTCACCAGGTAGGTACTGTAGTTTTGAGAACGCTTGATAGAGATCCTATAGGTGTTTGTCTCTGTCTGAGGGATTGGAGCAAATGCAGTTGTATCTTAGAGCTTGGCTGTAGACAATGGATCATGTGATGTGGTCTGGATGAAAGCTGGAGGCCTGTAGGTAAGTATAGGGGTCAGTAGGTTTCCGATACAGGGTGGTGTTTATGTGACCATCGCTTATTTGCACTGCAGTGTCCAGGAAGTGGATCTCTTGTGTGGACTGGTCCAGGCTGAGTTTGATGGTGGGATGGAAATTGTTGAAATCCTGGTGGAATTCCTCAAGGGCCTCCTTCCCATGTGTCCAGATGATGAAGATGTTATCAATGTAGTGCAAGTAGAGTAGGGGCGCTAGGGGACGAGAGCTGAGGAAGCGTTGTTCTAAGTCAGCCATAAAAATGTTGGCATACTGTGGGGCCATGCGGGTACCCATAGCAGTGCCGCTGACCTGAAGGTATAAATTATCCCCAAATCTGAAATAATTGTGGGTGAGGACAAAGTCTCAAAGTTCAGCCACCAGGTTTGCCGTGACATTATTGGGGAAACTGTTCCTGATAGCTTGTAGTCCATCTTTGTGTGGAATGTTGGTGTAGAGAGCTTCTACATCCATAGTGGCTAGGATGGTGTTTTCTGGAAGATCACCAATGATGGTACAGTTACTTGCTAATAGGAGGTCATCAAATCCATTTTAATTTGTATATCAGCCTCCCCTGTGTTCCAGATGCATTCATTGGCTGACAGTATATCCTCATGAACTTTTAAAATAGTGTTTTCATGTACAATGAAGTTGTGATTTTTAGCACTGGAAAACAAATTCCAAAGGGTGACAACTCCAAATATTTCAATGTAGCTCTCTCAATCAGAAGTTGATCGGAGTAATGATCATTGTCTTTATCTTTGACAACAGAACGTTGACCAAGTTATGTCAAAAAAGCCAGTTCTTTAAAATTATTTTTTAAAATTGAATTGCCAAATTCAAAATACTGATCTTTGAGTTTTTCCTATTTCAGCTACTGAAGAGTAGTGGCTGCTGAGAGAAGGTGTTTATTGGTATTAGTCTTGGCATCCCCAAGAGTAAATGTAAGGCTTTCAAAAAGATGAGAAATCATTCTGCTGAGATTAGACAAAATTTAGCAAAGAAAGGAACTCCAAATGCTGCTAAGTAATATGGTAAATTTTAAAATATAAGGACAAGTTGTTCAGTATCTTGTTATTCGAACTCTTTTGCTTCTCATCGACCAGGTGTAAATATGCTTTATTGTTGCCTTGGAAAACTTACAGCCATGAAGCATCAGATTCTCAACCAATTTTGTGGCAGAACTCTTATTCAGGTCTTCATCCTTTCTACCTGACCACTACAATTCTCTTCTTTTAATGTCTCCTTCAATTCCACATCATCCAAAATGAGCTGTCTCATCCTATCAACTTTCCTAGAAATAAGTACACATCACTTCCTCCCTCTAGAAATTTACACTGGTTTCCTGTTTACATCAGAGTCCAGTACAGAATGAATATTCCTTGTGGAGTTAGGCTGGGTAAACCCCTACTCGTATCTCTCTGATTTAGTCATTTATGGATTTTTCAGATTTTTCTCCATACTTCAAACTGCTTTTTAATTTTCATTTTCTATAGTGTCTAATAGCAAGATCCTGCCTTCTTGCAACATCAGGAACAACTCCTGCTTCTCTATACCTATTTGACTTCAAGGTCTGATGGCTACACTTCTTTTCTAAAGACCCTATTATGTCTCACAGGTCTATAGATTCTAACCTTCTCTGTAACAAAATCTAATCTTAGTTTCCAAAACACTCCCTTTTCCCCTCCAGAACTTAATGGGCTCTTACCCTTTAAGGCAGTGGCTCTCAACCTTTCCAGACTACTGTACCCCTTTCAGGAGTCTGATTTCTCTTTCATACCCCCAAGTTTCACCACACTTAAACTAGTTGCTTACAAAATCAAACATAAAAATACAAAAGTGTCCCATCACACTATTACTGAAAAATTGCTTATTTTCTCATTTTTACCATATAATTATAAAATAAATTAATTGGAATGTAAGTATTTTACTTACATTTCAGTATATAATATATAGAGGAGTATAAACAAGTTATTGTCTGTATGAAATTTTAGTTTCTACTAGCTTTGCTAGTACTTTTTATATAACCTGTTGTAAAACTAGGGGTACATCTTCACATACAACTGAAAAGCATCTCCTGTGGGTGGTGTTGCTTTTGATGTCTTTCAGCCTTTGGTGATATTTCTTTATTTGATAAGCAACATTGGAAAATTTTCTTGGTAACCAAAAATAGTTAATTTGAGCCATTTCTCTTTTCCCCTCTTTGGATAATTATGTTTTCACTGAATGTGTTTATCTTAACTTGTATTTTCCTAGAGTGCACTGGTGTCTGCTCAGTCGAAGAAGCTAGAAACCTTTTGAATTCCATTAGCTTTGGCTCATTAGAAGAATATGGAAATTCCCCCACTTTATACTAAACAAGAAATGGATATAATTGAAAATTCCCATTTGTAGTTATAGTGGTACCACTATATGCCAAAAATACAAGGAGATACTAATTGTCACTAGAGTGATAAATTTGGAAATGTTAATGGCACCCACTGTATTACCCATGTTTCAATTATTATAGAAATACACCCAAGAATATAAATACCAGAAAGACAACCTGCCACAGCAAGGCACAATTATTCTTTCTAAAAAAATTAATTCCTGTTGTGGCATATCTATCAATGCTACTGTGTAGTAAAACATAACCCGACTGGTTTACAAGAATTAGTAGGGGAAGCAAAAGTGGATGGGAACCTCGGAGGCAGTGACCATGACATGGTTGAGTTCAGGATCCTGACACAAGGAAGAAAGGAGAGTAGCAGAATATGGACCCTGGACTTCAGAAAAGCAGACTTTGACCCCCTCAGGGAACTGATGGGCAGGATCCCCTGGGAGAATAACATGAGGGGGAAAGGAGTCCAGGAGAACTGGCTGTATTTTAAAGAATCCTTATTGAGGTTGCAGGAAAAAACATCCCGATGTGTAGAAAGAATAGTAAATATGGCAGGCGACCAGCTTGGCTAAACAGTGAAATCCTTGCTGATCTTAAATGCAAAAAAGAAGCTTACAAGAAGTGGAAGATTGGACAAATGACCAGGGAAGAGTATAAAAATATTGCTCAGGCATGCAGGAGTGAAATCAGGAAGGCCAAATCACACTTGGAGTTGCAGCTAGCAAGAGATGTTAAGAATAACAAAAAGGGTTTCTTCAGGTATGTTAGCAACAAGAAGAAAGTCAAGGAAAGTGTGGGCCCCTTACTGAATGAGGGAGGCAACCTAGTGACCGAGGATGTGAAAAAAGCTAATGTACTCAATGATTTTTTTGTCTCTGTCTTCATGAACAAGGTCAGCTCCCAGACTGCTGCACTGGGCAGCACAGTATGGGGGGAAGGCGACCAGCCCTCTGTGGAGAAAGAAGTGGTTCGGGACTATTTAGAAAAACTTTGACGAGCACAAGTCCATGGGGCCGGATGCGCTGCATCCGAGGGTGCTAAAGGAGTTGGCGGATGTGATTGCAGAGCCTTTGGCCATTATCTTTGAAAACTCATGGCAATCGGGGGAGGTCCCGGATGACTGGAAAAAGGCTAATGTAGTGCCCATCTTTAAAAAAGGGAAGGAGGAGGATCCGGGGAACTACAGGCCAGTCAGCCTCACCTCAGTCCCTGGAAAAATCATGGAACAGGTCCTCAAGGAATCAATTCTGAAGCACCTAGAGGAGAGGATGCCTGACTAACCTAATTGCCTTCTATGAGGAGATAATGGGTCTGTGGATGAGGGGAAAGCAGTGGATGTGTTATTCCTTGACTTTAGCAAAGCTTTTGATACGGTCTCCCACAGTATTCTTGCCAGCAAGTTAAAGAAGTATGGGCTGGATGAATGGACTATAAGGTGGATAGAAAGCTGGCTAGATCGTCGGGCTCAACGGGTAGTGATCAATAGCTCCATGTCTAGTTGGCAGCCAGTATCAAGTGGAGTGCCCCAAAGGTCGGTCCTGGGGCCGGTTTTGTTCAATATCTTCATTAATAATCTGGAGGATGGCGTGGACTGCACTCTCAGCAAGTTTGCAGATGACACTAAACTGGGAGGAGTAGTAGATATGCTGGAGGGTAGGGATAGGATACAGAGGGACCTAGACAAATTAGAGGATTGGGCCAAAAGAAATCTGCTGAGGTTCAACAAGGACAAGTGCAGAGTCCTGCACTTAGGACGGAAGAATCTCGTTCACTGTTACAGACTAGGGACCGAGTGGCTAGGCAGCAGTTCTGCAGAAAAGGACCTAGGGGTCACAGTGGACGAGAAGCTGGATATGAGTCAACAGTGCGCCCTTGTTGCCAAGAAGGCTAACGGCATTTGGGGCTCTATAAGTAGGGGCATTGCCAGCAGATCGAGGGACATGATCATTCCCCTCTATTCGACATTGGTGAGGCCTCATCTGGAGTACTGTGTCCAGTTTTGGGCCCCACACTACAAGAAGGATGTGGAAAAATTGGAAAGAGTTCAGCGGAGGGCAACGAAAATGATTAGGGGGTCTGGAGCGCATGAGTTATGAGGAGAGGCTGAGGGAACTGGGATTGTTTAGTCTGCGGAAGAGAAGAATGAGGGGGGATTTGATAGCTGCTTTCAACTACCTGAAAGGGAGTTCCAAAGAGGATGGATCTAGACTGTTGTCAGTGGTACCAGGTGACAGAACAAAGAATAATGGTCTCAAGTTGCAGTGGGGGAGGTTTAGATTGGATATTAGGAAAAACTTTTTTCACTAGGAGGGTGGTGAAGCACTGGAATGGGTTACCTAGGGAGGTGGTGGAATCTCCTTCCTTAGAGGTTTTTAAGGTCAGGCTTGACAAAGCCCTGGCTGGGATGATTTAGTTGGGGATTGGTCCTGCTTTGAGCAGGGGGTTGGACTAGATGACCTCTTGAGGTCCCTTCCAACCCTGATATTCTATGATTCTATGAGATGTATTTGCATCTATAGATAGTAATCTGTTGTGAAGCATTTTGTGATAATTGTATACAACAGTCCAGTAAAAAATAAATTGTAGTGCTGTCAATGTTTTCGTATAGTGAGATCTTAATTTTGTAAAGCTAATTCAGTGCACCTTTCATCTGCTTATTTCTTTTCTTACCTTAAAAGGAAACATAATATATTTAAATTAACTAAATCATAATTGCATATTTCTTAGCACTGATTTAGTTATTTAATTTTTTTTCTTGCAGTGAAAGAACCAATCTCTTAAAAGAAGCAGAGATTTTACACAAAGCCAGGTTCAGTTACATTCTACCAATTTTGGGAATTTGCAATGAGCCTGAATTTCTGGGAATAGTGACTGAATACATGACAAATGGCTCATTAAACCAACTTTTGCATGCGGTAAGTGTATAGTGTTTTTCTAAAGCCTTTTGTGTGTCACTTCTAGTTGTTGTTGTTAAATGGTCTGTTTTGCGTGCGTGAGGAAATTTAGTAAACATTTTTTAATGGAAAAAAATATTGGGCCCTAGCCTGCAATTTACTCTGCTCAGGCAGACTGCGACATCTATGAAGAGCCCCTTTAAAGTCAGTGGGGCCTTGTCTGGGTACAGCGGTCTACCCCCATTAAGACAGTTGCAGTATTTGGGGCTTTAGAGAAATTACAAGGAAATGAATGGTGAGTTAAAAACAATCAGCTGTGATTTGCAAGTAATTAGAAATTCAATGAGAGCTCAAATAGCTGTACTCATTTCTGTACTGGTTTCAGAATCTCTGCCCTTTCCTGTGCATCCATGCATTTATTCATTACTCCTGGGGGAATCCTGCGCCACTGCACATGTGCAGAATTCATGCCCTCCTCTCTGCTCCTCACCCCCCCGTCAGATTTTTTTTCTCCGCAGAATATAGATTCTGCTGGAGAGGCTCTGCAGTTATGCCTTTCGGCTACCAGGGGCTGCTACGGCACCAGAAGAGAGGGTAGTCAGCTGGCAGCTGCGTTCCTTACAGCAGCACCAGTTGAGGAGGCACGGGTGGGACAGAGTATGGCACAGAGGGTTGCTAGGGGTCACAGAATGGGGTTCAGAAGAGCTGATGGGGCAGGGGTAGGAAACAGACTGGGACGCAGGCTCAGGAGCTAGTATAGTGACAGCTTTGAGGCAGGGGCACGGGGGTTGCATGGCCACATGGGGACAGGGCGTAGGGGACATACGGAGACGGGGGCAGATGTGCCTGACTGATTGGAGAGGCTAGGGGTCAGCCAAGGTCTGCATGGGGGAGGCTCCCCAACTCCCTAACAATCCCTCCCTTTCCCCCCCCACCTCCTGAAAAAACCCTTTCCATACTTCTACCACCCACACCAACAACCGTCCAGGTTCACTCCCAGGCTCTTTCCCTCTCTCTCTGTTCCTCCATTACCCCCGACTTCCCCAAGCCTTTGCACTGCTTCTGAGGGGTGTGGGAAATACGTTTCTGTAGTGTAGTTTAAATGAATTACTCAATGTTCTGTTTTTATATGCCTAGTAAGTAATCTACTTGTCAAAAAATCAGTTCCTGAATTTTGTTGTTGTTGTCTGTATCACTACAGACATACTTCCTGAGAGGTATTTTGAAATAAATTACCAAAATAATTGAAACTGGTGTGGTTATATTGTGTTATTTTGACAAAATAAAATATCCAGAATTTTAAAATATTGTGCACAGAGTTTTAATTTTTTGGTGTAGAATTTAATTATTTTTTTGGCAGGAGTAATTCATTCATGTGAATAATGTGCATTCATTTTCTTTTTACTGTGAATAGTCTTTTAAAAGAAGACTATGACTCAAACTGGTAAGTCAGAAATTGCAAAACTAAAACAGGCATGTCTTTCAGGCACTCAGTTGTGCTTTTATAAAATGAAGGATTGAACTTCCATATTAGTTTGTGAAACATACCCACAAAAGCTGAGAAATTCAATCATAACATTTTTAAAAGATAGTGTTTGTGTTTAGTTTTAGTGTAGTCTAGCATCACTGGGAGGCAGTATTGTCTGATGGACAGGGCATTCGATTAGGACTTAGAGGACCTTGGTTCTCTTTTTGCAACTGGCGCTGGCCTGCTGGGTGACCTTGGACATGTCATTTCATCTGTTCCTCTGCTTTCCCATTTATAAAATGGGGATATTATATTGTCTTTACTAGGAAGACCTCTCTTCTTGGAATATTGTGTATTGTTTTCTGTAGCCACAAGTAGAAGTTTTCTTTTTCCTCTTGGCGAGCTTGATTTGTTGGAGCACAAAACATTGAATAATGGACACTTTCTGGAACTTTGATGTAAATTGTATTGTTATAATCCTTTCCAGAACTTGTGCCCGTTCTGTCAGGCTTTTGGTTGCCCTCTTTTGATAATATAAAACCTTTACCATCTCTGCATATATCATTGGCATTTGGTAGCCCAGAATATAGTAATATACGTTCAGTTGACAAAAGGTATTTGTCTCATTTCCCTTAGGCCTAGTATATCTAGTTTATATCTGTCAATTTCTGTTATTTGGACCACTTTTCTAGGCTTATATAGTGTTCACATATAAGAGGGGTAGCACTCCCTAGACACATTTCCCCCTCCCCCCTCCTCCAGGTCCCACTGTCCTTCGTTTACTCTCTGCTCCCCCAGTGGCTGCCCTTAGGGGAGTTTTCTGGGAGTAATTGCTACCTGGCAGAGGGTTGGTTCTTCTTTATCCCTGCCCCTTGTTAGAGGAGGGTCTGGCTGAAACAGTAGTCAGCCTCTCAGACAGTCCCTGGATAGGTCTTTACAGGCTCAGTTTCTGAAAGTTTATTGGGCCTACATAAGGTTAATATCCCCCACCCTTCTTTCTGGGGTGTGTTACTTGGCTGTCAGCCGGAGTGGCTCTTTTCTGTGACTGTCTGTTCCTCACCCAGCCTGCCTCGGTTACTCACAGCCTCTTCCTGGTCACCGCCCCTTCCTATGGTAGGCTTCCCCTAATAAGCCCCTTCTCCTCCAGGAACAGGTGCACCTCATTGGAGCAGCACAGGCCCAGAGGATCTCGTTAGCCTCCTTGCAGCCAGTAGAAGGGTACGTACCTTCACACCGCACATTCTGCATACCAATTTCGGAGAGAGAAAATTCATCAGCAGAGTAGCTTCCTTGTGTGTTTGGCCATTTCACGCCATTATCTCTCGTAAGTCTATTTGAATGGAGTTGAGTTCGATTGAGTTTGTGAACTGAGGGGTAGTGCAGATTTCTCTAACAACTTTGTTTCTTACAGTAGTGGCTTACTACGGTAGCAAGTGGGCCGGTGGACTGCTTTAAGTTTGGCTCTTACCCTTTGACCTAGACATGAATGCTAAAGTAGGGAGCAATAACACTGTCAGGGAAGCTATTTTATGGAAACAAGGCATCAATGGAAAGAAAGTGGCAAAGTGTTTGCTGATTTTTGTGGAACAAATGGCCTGATCATTGGAGGAAATATTTTCCTTCACTGTAGTATTACTAAGATAACTTGGAGGTCACCAGGTCACAGAACAGGGAACCAAATGGATCACATTACAATGTGGCTCAAATGAAGAAGAACGTTAGAAGATGTACATAGAAGGAACGGGGCAGATATGGGGACAGACCATGCATTAGTGGTAGATATTTTGAGAATAAAAATAAAGATGTCATATAGTGAAGCTGCCAAAGAAAGAAAACCTCAGTGTAAAAACTGGAGGGGCATAGAACGGATCTCTCACAGGTATTTACATGTATTATTCTAGGCAAAATAAAGAAATCAGTGCATAAGAACAGCCATACTGGATTAGACCAATGGTCCATCTAGCCCGATATCCTGTTTTCCAACAGTGGCCAATGCCAGATACTTAAGAGGGAATGAACAGAACAGGCAGTAATTCATCCCCTGTCGTCCACTCCCTCTTTCTGGCAATCAGAGGCTAATAATACCCAGAGCATGGGGTTGCATCCTTGACCATCTTGGCTAATCGCCAATGATGGACCCATTCTCCATGAATTTTTCTAGTTCTTTTTTGAACTTCATTATAGTCTTAGGTTGACACTGTGTTGTGTGAAGTACTTCCTTGTTTGCTTTAAACCTGCTGCTTATCAATGTCATTGGGTGACCGCTGGTTCTTGTGTTATGTGAAGGGGTAAATAACATTTCGTTATTCACTTTCTCCACAGTCACGATTTCATAGACCTTGACCATATCCCCCCTTAGTTATCTCTTTTCCAAGCTGAAAAGTCCCAGTCTTTTTAATTTCTCTTCATATGGAAGCTGGTCCATACCCCTAATCATTTTTGTTGCCTTTCTCTGTACCTTTCCCAATCCTAATATATCTTTTTGAGATGGGGTGACCAGAACTACAGGCAGTATTCAAGGTCTGGATGCGCCATGAATTTAAATAGTGGTGTTATGATTTTGTGTTTTATTATCTATCCCTTTCGCAATGGTCCCTAACGTTCTGTAATTTTTTTTTTTTTTGACTGAGGCTGCCCATTGAGCGGATGTTTTCAGAGAACTATCCATGATGACTCCAAGATCTCTTTCTTGAGTGTAACAGCTAATTTAGATACCACCATTTGTATGTATTCTTGTATGTTTTCCAATGTGCATTATTTTGCATTTATCAATGTGGAATTTCATCTGCCATTTTGTTGCCCAGTCACCCAGTTTTGTGAGGTCCCTTTGTAACTCTTCACAGTGTGCTTTGGACTTACCTTGAGTAATTTTGTATCATCTGCAGAATTTGCCACCTCCCCATTTTACCACCTTTTCCAGATCATTTATGAATATGTTGAGCAGCGCTGGATCCCTGCCAGACATCTCTATTTACCTCTCTCCATTCTGAAATCTGTCCATTTATTCCTACCCTTTGTTTTCTATCTTTTAGCCAGTTACTGATCCATGAGAGGCCCTTCCCTCTTATCCCATGACTGCTTATTTTTCTTAAGAGCCTTTGGTGAGAGACCTGGTCAAAGGCTTTCTGAAAATCTAAATATACTTTACCCAATAGATCCCTCTTGTCCACATGCTTGTTGACCCCCTCAAATAATTCTAGTTGATTGGTGAGGCATGACTTCCTTTTACAAAAGCCATGTTGACTCTTCCCCAACAAAGTGTATTTATGTATGTGTCTGATAATTCAGTTATTTACTATAGTTTCACCCAATTTGTGAGATACTGAAGTTAGACTTACCGGCCTGTAATTGCCAGGATAGCCTCTGTATCCTTTTTTAAAAATTGGTGTAACTTTACTATCCTCCTGTCATCTGGTACAGAAACTGATTTAAATGATAGGTTACATACCACAGTTAGTAGTTCTGCAATTTCATATTTCAGTTCCTTCAGAATTCTTGGGTGAATACTATCTCGTTCTGGTGACTTATTACTATTTAGTAGGACTATCCATTAGTCGCAGTTAACTCAAGCAATTAATTCCAAACAAATTAACTCAATTAAAAATATTAATCGCACTGTTAAACAATAATAAAATGCCAATTTGTTTTTTAATAAATATTTTTCTACATTTTCAAATATATTAATTTCAGTTACAACACAGAATACAAAGTGTACAGTGACATTTTATATATTTGATTACAAATATTTGCACTGTAAAAGAAACAAATAGTATTTTTCAATTCACCTCATACAAGTACTGTAGTGCAATCTCTATCATGAATGTGCAATTTATAAATATAGAATTGTTACATAACTGCACTCAAAAATCCTAAAAATTTTAGAGCCTACAAGTCCACTCAATCCTGTTTCTTGTTCAGTCAATCACTAAGACAAACAAGTTTGTTTACATTTATGGGAGATAATGCTGCCTGCTTTTTATTTACAATGTCACCTGAAAGTGAGAACGGGTGTTTTAGCTCTTAGCCGGGGTTGCACAGTATTTACATCAGATATGCTAAACGTTTGTATGCCCCTTCATGTTTTGACCACCATTCCAGAGGACATGCTTCCATGCTGATGACTCTCGTTTAAAAAAAAAATGTGTTAATTAAATTTGACTGAACTCCTTGGAGGAGAATTGTAAGTCTCCTGCTCCATGATTTTACCTGGGTTCTGCCATATATTTTGTGTTATGGCAGTCTCGGATGATGACCCAACGTACGTTGTTCGATTTAAGAACACTTTCATTGCAGATTTGACAAAATGCAAAGATGGTATTAATATGAGATTTCTAAAGATAGCTACAGCACTCAACCCAAAGTTTAAGAATCTGAAATGCCTTCCAAAAATCTGAGAGACGAAGTGTAGAACATGCTATCAGAAGTCTTAAAAGAGCAACACTCCGATTTGGAAACTACAGAACCAAATACCAAAAAAGAAAAATCAAGCTTCTATTGGTGGCATCTGATTCAGATGATGATAATGAACGTGCGTCGGTCTGTACTGCTTTGGATCATTCTCAAGCAGAACCTGCCAGCAGCATGAAAGCATGTCCTCTGGAATGGTAGTTGAAGCAGGAAGGGGTATTTAGCAAATCTGGCACATAAATATCTTGCAATGCCGGCTACAACAATACACTTTGTAGTCTGTGTTGTAATTTAAATCAATATATTTGAAAATGTAGAAAACATCCACAAATATTTAAATAAATGATATTCTATTGTTTAACAGTGTGATTTTAAACTGCAATTAATCACAATTTTTTTTAAATCTTGGTTAATTGAGATTTTTTAAAAATTATTTGATAGCTCTACTATTTAATTTAGTAGTTTATTCCAAAACCTTCTCTATTGACATCTGGGACAGTTCCACAGATTTGTCACCTAAAAAGCTCAGATCCGCTGTAGATTCAAGATACATGCACGGTTCCGACAGGATAAATCAGGTACATATCAAATAATAATCTTATGTATCAACATAGAACTGTTGCTTGTATGACAGTCACCATTTTATATGAATTTTTTAGATTTCCAAAAAAAATTTGGCATAACAGATAGAACTGTTTTATGGAAATTGCTACACAACTATGGAATCGTTCCAAAATTTGTGAGGATCATTCAAAGCTTCTATGAAAATACGACATGCCAAGTACTACATAATAGGGAACCGACTAAACCATTCAAAGTCACTCTGGGCATCAGGTGAGGATGTCTTATGTCACCCAGAACTTTTTTTTACTGATAGTGGATTGGGTAATGAGAGGGAGTACAGAACAATGAAAGGACATACAATGAATTTTCAAACAGAAGTTAGACCAACTTGACTTTGTGGATGACATCAACATGCTATCACTTACCCATAGGAACATGCAAGCCAAAACAAATGATCTTCAGGCTTATGCACAATTAATAAGGTTGAAAATCAACACCGAGAAAACTAAAACCTCAAGAATCAACACACAACACCAATAACATTTTCTGGGACAGACACAAAAGAGGTCCGATATTTCACATATCTTGACAGCATTGTAAGTACAACATGCAACAGACCGACAATATCCTGCACAATCCTTATGGAATTAGGATAAGGTTTAACTTAATTCTGTAAACTTGATTGAATTATGTTTAATACTTTGGGGATCCATGGTATTAAAAATGCAGTTGTGCATATTTATTATGGAATTGTAGGTCACTCCTCTAGGATGAGGCGGATGCTAATGTAATTCCTCAGGTTATGAGCCCCTTTGAAGTCACCCCTTAGTGAGGTCTGCATATACTACTTCAAAATGGATTCTCCATGGACCAATAGACAAAGAAAAGACTTTTGGATGACTATCCTGGTCCAGGCCCTTCTTCCTGGTCCAGCAAATGGACAGGATCTCTAGTCCATAGAGGCCCCCATTGTTTAAGGAAGAATTGGAAGGACTTAGCCTACTGAGGCCCCATAAGACTGTGTGCTTGTTCTGAGCTGAAGCTATGATGAACTTGAAACAAGAGGGAAACCCATTTGGGGGGGTTGGTGAATGCCAGAACCCATGTTAGGGTTAGGGTGATCTCTGGTAATTGTATGAGCATGCATGTAGTTTTATTATTTTTAAACATATTCTCTGTAATGTTTTTTATCTTAAGAATAAAATAGGCTTGCTTAAAAAGAACTGTGTGGTAAATTACAACCATGGGAAATCACTCTGCTGGGAATAACACAGCGAAGGCAGGGAATATCTCAGCCTGGAAATACCCAGAAGGGTAGAAGGGAGTGAGATATAGGTCTCCACCCAAGAAAGGCACTGGCTGGGTTGCTGCAAGCTGGACGACTGAGAGGAAGCAGGGAAATGCCCTGATCTGTGACACAACAAGTAGAGCAGATGAAAACATTAAAACCAGAGTATCAAAAGCCAGACATGCCTTTGTAACTCTAAAGCCAATCTGGAGAAACAGAAATCTTGCTTCCAAACTAAAACCTTTGAATATTTAACACTGTTGTAAAGTTGGTCTTACTATAGTGTGCTGAAATTTGGAGATTCAAGACTTCACTATCTAAACTCCAAGTTTTAATAAACAGCTGACAGAATAATCCCCAGTATCCTCAGGGGGAAGAAGAGTCACAAATAAAGAATTCTTGAGGAGGATAAAACAGAAGCCACTAGGACAAGAAATTCTGGAATGAAAATGGAGATAGCTAGTACATAGAGTTAGAAAACTAAATAACGTAAGTCAGGAATTGGATTGGAACCCCTAGGGCAAGAGGCAATGAGGTAGACCAATGATAACGTTGAACTACATAATATAAGCAGAATTGAAAACTAAGACTGCAGGAGGAGACCAGCGAAGGTGGAAGGCAGTGGTTAAGACCCTGTGTTCTGCAGTGGAATAGAGAGGTTTAAGACGATACTTGCTCACTTTTGTAAAGCACTCGGAGTCTGTTGATGATATCTAAATCTTATCTAGAACTTTATCATCGCAAGGTCATACAGTATGTGTATTAGTAACAGCATATATAATCGTGAATTGATAAAGTATAATTGCTAAAGAATAGGAGCATAGTAATGAGTGATTAAATAGTTCATAATGTTAAAACATATATAAATTAACACCAATCACTGATTTGTCACTTTTTAAATTTGCGAATACAAGATGTAAAACAACCTCTTTTCAAAGTATGCCTCCTCTAACTCAAAGATTTTTGTTAAAATATTTAAATGGATGATCATATTGTGATTTTTCTGGTTTTCCTTTTTCTTTGGTAGAAAAATGCATATCCTGACATTGCGTGGTCACTGCGATTCCGTATTCTGTATGAAATTGCTTTGGGAGTGAATTATCTGCACAATATGAGTCCTCCATTGCTGCACCATGATTTGAAGACCCAGAATATTTTACTGGATAGCGAGTTTCATGTTAAGGTAAGGTTCTGGTTATTTTAGTCCCTATATTCTTCTTCAGTGAACATATGTAAGCGGGGGAATGGTCCTGCTATTGTGGGGAACTTTCCTGGCTTATACACTACCCCAGTGAAGTGGGCTAGTGAAAGGATCTGAGTCCTCACTCCCACTTCCTTTACCCAGAGGCCTGCCTGACCTCAAGCGCTCCCCTTCCACTCTCCTGTATGGCAGAGTCCTCATAACCCCAACAAGGCTGGGCCCAGGATTCCTGGGGGGCTTGACCCCCAACCCTGTCATGGTCACTTAGGGCAGGGGCTAGGGTGTCCCCACTCCAGGGTGCTTTCTCTGCACAGGATGCTTCCCTGACCCACTGATCATTACATACAGTTCAAAGCAAATACAATTAAACATCAATCAATTTGAAAAAAAATAAGGAAAAAATGGGAAAGGTTAAAAGAAAACCCGTCACCCTTCTCGGTGGCACAGGGACATCAAAACCAGCATCTCTGGAGTGTAAGGGAAGTTCAGTCTTGTCCTCACAAGTCCTAGGCCTCCTCCTTAGGCCCTGTTTGTGCCGCAGGGATGCTGCGGGTCGGACATTTGCTCTGGTGGTGGCCACACGCTCTCAGGCTCTAGGTGGCAGGACCCTTCTTCCCAGCGTTTCCCCCGCCCTGTCGGGGTTATGATCCCCCTCCAAGTCTGGCCTGCCAGGAGTCTTGGCTGGGGGTGTCTCCCTACACTGGGCCTGCTGCCCAGGGTCCCCCTCGCTCTCCCCAGCTGCTCACCGCACCCGGCTCCGGACTGCTCCAGCTTCTCTGCCTCAGCTCCAGCTCCACTCTGCCTCAGCTCCACCACTCTGCTGCCTCAGCTCTAGCTCCACCACTCTGCCTCAGCATGGCTGCTCTGCCTCCAGCTCCCTAGGTTGCTTCTCTGGCTCTGGTTGCTGCAGCTCTCCTACCAGCACAGGTGTGCTCTGTGGACTGCTTCTGTGACTCTGCTCCCAGCTCTGACCTGCTTCCTGGGATGCTTTTCTGGCCCCTCTTGGTGGCACAGCTCTGCTCCCCAGCTCAGGTTGGGCCCCTGCTTTCTCCTTGGGCCCCACTCTGTCTGACCCAGGCAATTCCAGCTCACATAGAGGACGGGATCCGCTGGCCTCCTGATTCCCTGATTAGCCTGCCCGCCCTGTCAATCAGGCTGACCTGGAGCACTGGCCTCTCCCCATTGTTCCTGGGGGCTGTCAGTTTCAGGGTCCTGATTTCCCATCGATCCTTCCCCTTACTTTTAGTACTGGGAGCTAGCCACCCAAAACACCCCCACTGAGTTTTAGTAAGGGGACAACAGTCCCCTTACACATAGCAGAACTGAAGTGTGTTTAATATTGCAGACAAGGAATGAGGATAGGAAGGGACAAACTTATACTCCAGTCCTGCAGTTGTGTCTTTGAAGGCAGAGCCTCATCTTCTTCAGGGAGGTTCCACACAGAAATGGGTTGACTTGCACCAATCCAATTGCAGATTCCTGGCCTTTAGCAGCACACTTCCTTTCCATAATGTTGGCCTATGCAGTATGCCATACAGATTAAATAAATCAAAGTTAGTAGATGAGACATTTAACTGAGATAAACCTGTGGATATCTGAAGGGATTATACCTAGGGAAAATAACCAAATTCTCAGCAAAATTAACATAAAAGTAGTCATGATTTCACAGTTTTAGTTACAGAGAAGAGGGGTTGGAGGTACTATAATAAGACAGTGTTAAGATAAGCAAAATGTTAGTTCATGGTAACAAAATAGAGAGGAATTAAAGAAGTAATTAGGCAGTGCAAGAAATAAAAGCAATGGCTAATATTCAGAAGTGGTAACACTTTCTTATGAAAGTCCTTGAGGATAACCCTTAATGTGGTCCTTTCAGAGTAGAAACTCCTTCGAAGGACTGCTCAAGTTCTGAAGTCAGAGGAGCTCAGGTAGGCCCTGGTGGGTTTCCCATGCCCAGCAACAGTGTAATATGTGATGTACTGTCTTGCTTCCAAATTGTCATTCTTCACTCAGCAGTGCTTATTGTAGCCTTAGAATATCTCTTCAAATATGCACGCTCTGAGTTTGGATAGTATGGGAAGGCGAGAAACCTACCTGGCAGATACTTCCTGAAGGAGAATTGATGAGGGGATAATCAAGGCCTTGGTTGCTTATTAGGCTGGATATTCACCTTAAAATAGAACAAAACATACGTGAAATTGTTTCTGAGCCATCTTAACTTTAATGGTTTATTATGGACCTTTAATTCAGAGGCAAAGAGAAGGAAGTATTGGTGATGAAGAATCCATTTGTTGAGAAAACTGTTGGTCACTTTTATAATTTGAATAGAAATAAAAACAGTTTGATAAAGTTTTGTTTCCTTTCATCAATAGTTTGAAAATTTGAAATGGACAATCTGGAACATTTAGTATTACAATAATTGAGGGAGATGCTTTGCCTTAAATTTGAATGGTTAATACTTTAAGATGAATTTTTCTACAGATGCTTTATGTGGGGGTTAATTGCTCATTGCTTATTAAGTAGCTCTCTAATTATTTGAGCTGCCTTTGGGTGGAGTGTAATTAAGATTTTGATAACTGGCAGAAAATGGAAGGAGATACATCTGCTGTGTATTATAAAAAAGAAAGTATTGAACATATGTAAAATATGCAGTCATAGTGTGTCTGATTGCATCAAATATCTGCTAAATTAGTAAGATTTCTGTTGAATTACAATGAGACCAGACACACAAAAGTGCATTATGCAAATTGGTTTTAAAATCATTCCCTCCTCCCCCAATGACCTCAAAAGCTAGTCAGAAGAAAGCTCTTATAGACAGGTCATGTACTCCATGACACAATGAAATCAAGTCCATTACAAGCACTTTAATTTATTCTGTTCCAATTAAATATTCTTCCTTCACTTCCACCTGTCCTACATAAATACACATAACTATGGCCCAGTCAGTGACATAACACCAGTCAATAATTATTTTTAACTTTTTTTTTCTCGTGTATTCTCCAGGAAGCTCATATCCATAGATCTTAGTTGTTGCAATGTTGTCCAGGCAGCCTTGCTCAGAACCCTTTTTCCCTCTCGTGTGTGTACCAGGAAAGTGTGGAGTGGGTAGCTCGCTTCATCTCCTTGGATTTCCACCCATTGGCCACTGTCCTGAATTCTAGCCATCCCAACTGGACAGCCTACACTTCTGGTTCTCTCTCCCCCATGCTGGAAGCTGGAGTCCAGCTCTTGCTCCCTGATCCCCTGCTGCCTGGTTCAGTGGAACAGTGTGGGATGCTGTGACAGGTTGCTATACTCACTGCTGGATGATGCCACCTCCTGGCGGTTCTGGGGATTATCTCAGTCACAGCAACGCCCATTCTAGTGGTTAAACCCCACCAATTTCTCCTCTGCTGCTCTTCTCGCTCTCAGGAGCCGCAGCTATCCTCTCTGTGACTCGGCCTCTGACCAGGTTGCTCAGCATTCCCCCCTTCTGGGGTATAGTCCTTCAAAGTTTCTGTCACTCCCATAGTGGCCAAGGCAGTCGTCCAGTTCACTCCCTTGCCAGTACCATTTTCCCAGTGTCAGGCAGAGGAACCTGGGCCTACTCTCTACTCCGGGTTCCAGCCCAGGGACCCTACAACATGCAACCAACGTCTGTTCAGTCCCCAACCTTGCTGCTTATTCCCTGGGCTGCTTCCTACCCCAGCACTCCCCCACTCTCTGGGGTTTGTCAGTCTCTCTACTCCCTCCTCCCAGGGAGCACTAGTGGGCTACTTGTCTTGATAGCCCTCCCAACACACTTCCCTTCTCCCAGAAAGTGACTGCAGACTCCTTCCCTGTAGTCCTTCCTACCATCAGCTCCCTGGCTTTATAGAACCGCTGCCTGTTCTCACACAGGTTCAACTTTCCTCTCGGACTAAAAGGTTAATTGGCCCACCTGGCTTCCATTAATTCCTTCAGGGCAAGTGGGGGGAGGGGTTGAGGTGGACACCCCATCACAGGTGCATGCATTGCAAACCAATTAATTCTTAGTTTGTAGGGAAGGATAGAGAACAAGAAGCAGTTTCAGGCATGTCCCAGCCAGACATGAAAACAGCAAACAAAATATTGGGTGCCTGTCTGCAGCAAAATGGCAAATTTCCCAGCCAAAATGATTAATTCTATGGCACCTTGGAAAAATGCTAGGTCCAAGGAGCTCTGATTGAGATGATAAGAACTGCACCACTCTCTGAGTTGTTGTTTTTGGATAGTGCTGCATCGTTTTACACTTGATTAATGTTTTCAAGATTTTCTTTCCAACCATAAGGGCTAGAAACATAAGTGTTTGGTCTTTGGAAATGAAAGCTGATATTCTGAAATGCAGTTTTTTAGCATGGGTGAATTCCACAGCTAAATCACGGACTACATGGGAGGTGTTGCCCACAGGGAGCAATGGGAGGGAACATCTTTTTATTATATTTATTTTTGTACACCACTTAGCACAGTGGGGTCCTGGTCCATAACTATGGCGATTAAGTGTTACGGTAATTCAAATCATTAATAAATAATAATACTGTGGTGACAACATGAACCCTGATTTGGAAACATTTTCTAAATCAAGGTTGGTGTTTTTTGTAGCTAGCAGAACACCATAGCCGCTTTCATTTCAAATGGGATGGAGTGTTTTAAACAAACTCTTCATTCAGTTCTATTTTTGACAACTTGCACTAACATCAGTGCATAGATGGGACCTGCTGCTCTCTCAGAATGACAGATTTTTGTTCTTTACCAGATTGCCGATTTTGGTTTATCGAAATGGCGCATGGTGTCCACATCACAATCACGAGGTGACAAATCTCTGCCAGAGGGAGGGACTATTATCTACATGCCACCTGAAGACTATAATCCCAATCAGAAAACCCGTGCAAGTGTAAAGCATGATATATACAGGTACTGCCTGTTATCCTACAGTGGGCACTGCAAACTGAAAAGTAAAAATTGTCAAAGGAACTTGATTATAATGAACCAGAACAAGTTATTTTGGGAGATTAAATGGATAAAGTACAATTTTTGAAAACCTCTTTCCCTAGCAAACATTAGGACAAATATAATGCCCTAGAGATTAGGGTAAAAACAGGATAACTAGAAAAGGGGAGTGGTTGGAGTTAACCCAATGTTGTTTAATTTTCTGAACATCCCACAAATCAGGGCTTGCAGGGAATAGAATTACCCTGCTGAAAACAGGATGGATGAGGGGAGAGAGCAAATGAGTAGCAAAACAAAGTGCAAACATCCAGATGAACGAACTATGCACGCCTACTTAAGAGATCTCTGTGGCTAACATGCAGAGATTAATGTAATTTGCAAGACAAGCATGGGGTGAGAGAAAAAGCATTAACTTACAAAAGGTCAGGTGAAGGGACAGGCAAAAACAGAGTATACATCATATAGAAATCCAGGGAGAGCTATTCCAGTAAGCTTTTGAATGGCACATATAGAGTAATAGCTACCTATAAAAGAAACAGCAGTTGCTTTCTCCGTGTAAGAGATACTGAACAAGTTAGCTCAGAAGGGTACCACCTTAAAGCCTGTCTAAACAATCAAGGAGGGGATTGAGTTGAGGAAGTGGATAGTTAACAGTTGACAGATGGCCTACGGCAGTCAAGCATAGTTTTTAAGAATATCTATTAAGGCTGCATTTTTGCTACTTGAGTCATGGATTCCATAATTTTCATATATTTTAAAAATATCTAGGACTTCTGACACTTTGGGACTCTTACATGTAGGTGTGTAGATGCAGTGGTAAGAGATGAACCAGTTTCAAAGACTAAACTGCCAAAACAAAGCCTGGGCTTCCTGGAAGAGAGAGCATTAACTCTCATAATTAGCTCTTTCCCTTGAGGTGCAGAGGAAGCACCTGGCATTCCTAGCAAGAAATCAGGGAGAGAGAATATCCCTGTAACTCTCACCTTTTTGAGAGGTGTAGGTGGGTGTGGAGCAAGAGAGAAGAATCAGGAGCTCAAGGCAGTTCATTGGAGGAGCAGGAGAGGGAGTGCAACCTGCAGCAGGCCCTGTCTATGCTTATGGTTTTAGAAGGATGTGACAGTATCGGTTAGAGTGGGGGAGAGCCTAAAGAGGTTGGTTAGGAGAGAGAGAAGAGAAGGAGAGTAAAGGGAAAGAAAGAGTAAGTTTAGAGGGAAAACTAGACTGAAAAAGAGGTTTGGAAGGAGGGAGAGATTGTCTAGAAAGAGGAGAAGAAGAAACTGAGAACATGGGTGGAAAGAAGGGAGAGAACCCAAACCAAAGGAGTAGAGAAGAAGACAGATGTAGGGAGAGAAGAAGACAAGAGACGAGAACATCCATTGAAGAAGAGAGACAAGGTGGATGAGGTAATATCTTTTATTGGACCAACTTCTGTTGATGAGAGAGACAAGCACTCAAGCAAAAAAATGCGA